TTAGGACCTTTTCGGTTGTGTGATTTTGACGATTAGATAGTGGACGAAGCTCCGAAGAGCCTTCCTTTGAGAACGACCCGAGTCGGGTAGCTCGGTTACCACATGCCCAAAAATTTACTCAACACCCTTGCGTATCAAGTCTTCAATATTGTTTTTCAGGGACTTACAGTCCTCGGTATCGTGACCGTGGTCTCCGTGAAAACGACAATACGTATCCCGACTTCTTTTGTTTGCCGAGGTTCTCATCTTTGTCGTCCATCTGACATAGTCCTTATCTTGAATGTACATCAAGATTTCATTCTTTATAGCACGTAGAGGAGTATACCTCTCGAACCTCGAGAGGTTAGACCGATCCTTCAATGAGCTAGTGGTGACAGACAATCCATCCCACACTTTTTTCTCTTTCTAACATTATCTTCACCCGGATCCCTTATCCTCTTTATGTCAGAGGTCTCTTGCTCGTCTTTCCCCTAAACTCTGGAGATCTCCTCAATGTTGATGTATTTTTCAGCCTTACTGAAGAGTGCAGGCAGGGATAGCGTTGGTTTTTTCGCCAAAGAGAAAGCAAACCTTAAACACTTTTGAACCCCATCCATAAGTGCGGCCAATGCCACAGACTGGTCCAAGTCCTCAATCTCTAGTGCATCTCCATTGAAACGTTGGATAAACTCCCTTAGCGTCTCATTCGACCTCTGACGAATGCCTATAAGGTGGACTGACGCTTTCTTGTACAGCTTGCTACTAACAAAGTGGTTGAGGAATTCTTGTGCCAACTGTTTGAAAGAATAGATAGAGGCCACTGATAGTGAAGAAAACCAAACCCTGGCACTCTTTTTCAGTGTGGCTGAGAACGCTCGGCATTTGATGATGTCAGTCTCCCTCTGAAGCATCATGAGGGCTTGAAAATTCTCAAGATGGTTACGGAGGTCCGAGGTTCCATCGTAATTCTCCATCTGAGGCATCATGAAGTTAAAGGGAATTTCTTCTTTCATGATGCTACTAACAAAAATGGACTCGATCGGCGAGAAAATATCCGACGCTGGCTTTCAGCCGAGCCTTTCATTCATCTCCTCAAGATTTTGCTTAAGGTTTCCATCCTCAGGTGTGAACTTCTCTCTCCCGAGGTCTCTTTTGGATCAGACCTTGGTTTCATCGTTGAAGGCTTTAGATCATTCGCCACGACTGACTTCTTTGTAGTTGTGACCTAATGATGCTTCTTTTTCCAGCACAATGTTTTAAATATTGTACTGTACAGGCCGGTAATACCAGTAATACCGGATACCGGCCATTGGTACGGTACAATTACACTCAAAATACTAGATTTACAGTTATATCGGTTTGTACCTGGATCATACGGTAAAAACCGTAAAATACCTGTCTAAAATACCGACAAATAAAAAAAAAATTAAAAAAAAATAATTTTTTTAATTGAAAATAATAAAATTTAAATTAGTAGTTAAAATATTTTATTTTTATCTTATTGAGAAGTTGAAATTAATGATTATGATAATATATTTTTTTTTTCGACAT